GGAAAAGTTCGACCCGCCCATTGGAGCGATCAGTTGGAGTCGGTTACCACATCTATAAAAGCTGAAGAGAATTCGTAAGAGAGATTTCGGAGTGCATCTCTCCTCATCTCAAAGCCCTAGAAAGTTAATTATCTGATTCTCTGATTTCACTGTAGCGAGGAAGAAGAAAGATTTCGCCATTCGAAATCGGTACTTGATTCAGGTCAGTTCATTTCTCTACCTTAGCGTTCTATCTTTTTCAATTTCTCCATTTTTGCGTTTATTTAATTTTTCTTACTGAAATCCATATAGTATAATCCACGGAACCATTTGCCGAATTTCAGTTTCTGGGGCTTCGATTTCTGTTCTGGGCAAGAGGCGTAAGTTATGGATTTAGAGATTGCCAAAACCCAGGAGGAGAGGAGGAAGTTGGAGCAGCAGTTGGCTTCTCTTAGTTCAGTGACTTTCGATACTGATCTTTATGGTAGTAATGATAAAGCGGGTTATGTGACTTCCATCCCGGTTAATGAGGACGATGAGAACCTTGAAGCCTTGGACAACGAGGTTGCTCGTAAGTTAGCTTCTTATACGGCCCCGAAGTCTCTGTTAAAGGAGATGCCAAGAGGTGGCGAAGAAGATGATGATATAGGGTTTAAGAAACCGCAGAGGATTATCGATAGAGAGGATGATTATAGGAAACGTAGGTTGAATAGGGTGATATCGCCTGAGCGGCATGATGCGTTCGCTGCGGGTGAGAAGACGCCGGATCCCTCTGTGAGGACTTATGCGGAGGTGATGAGAGAGGAGGCGTTGAAGAGGGAGAGGGAGGAGACTTTAAGGGCTATAGCTAAGAAGAAGGAAGAAGAGGAGGCCGCTAAGGCATCAGGAGAAAAGCCAAAGGAATCAGCTGCAGCACCTCAGAAGAGGAGGAATAGGTGGGATCAATCGCAGGATGACGGTGGAGAAAAAAAAGCGAAGACCTCGGATTGGGATTTGCCTGATACAACGCCTGGAAGGTGGGATGCGACACCAGGCCGGGTGGGGGATGCCACTCCTGGTGTGGGGAGAAGGAATAGGTGGGATGAGACTCCAACTCCTGGGAGGTTGGCTGATTTGGATGCAACTCCAGCAGGTGGTGTTACGCCTGGTGCAACCCCTGCTGGAATGACTTGGGATGCAACTCCTAAACTTGCTGGAATGGCTACACCAACTCCAAAAAGGCAGCGATCGCGATGGGATGAGACCCCGGCAACAATGGGAAGTGCCACTCCTATGCCCGGAGCAACCCCTGCTGCTGCATTTACTCCTGGTGTGACTCCTGTTGGAGGGGTTGAGCTGGCTACCCCAACACCTGGGGCTATCAATTTGCGTGGCCCAATGACGCCTGAGCAGTATAATTTGATGAGGTGGGAGAGAGATATTGAGGAGAGGAATCGCCCGTTGACTGATGAAGAACTTGATGCCATGTTTCCACAAGAGGGATATAAGATTCTGGACCCTCCTGCTTCCTATGTGCCAATTCGAACACCTGCAAGGAAGTTACTCGCCACGCCAACTCCGATGGGAACTCCTCTTTATGCCATTCCAGAGGAGAATCGTGGTCAGCAGTTTGATGTTCCAAAGGAAGCACCTGGTGGCTTGCCATTCATGAAGCCCGAGGATTACCAATACTTTGGGGCATTGTTGAATGAGGAAGATGAGGAGGAGTTGTCTCCAGAAGAGCAGAAAGAGCGGAAGATTATGAAGCTCTTACTCAAGGTTAAGAATGGAACACCTCCTCAAAGGAAAACAGCTTTAAGGCAGCTTACTGATAAGGCTCGTGAGTTCGGTGCAGGCCCCTTGTTCAACCGCATTCTGCCACTCCTTATGCAGCCTACTCTGGAGGACCAGGAGAGGCATCTTCTGGTTAAGGTTATTGACAGAGTGCTTTATAAGTTGGATGAATTGGTTCGTCCCTATGTGCACAAAATTCTTGTTGTGATTGAGCCATTGTTGATCGATGAAGATTACTATGCACGTGTAGAAGGTAGAGAAATTATATCCAATCTTAGTAAAGCAGCTGGTTTGGCTACTATGATTGCTGCAATGCGTCCAGATATCGACAACATCGATGAATATGTTAGGAATACCACTGCGAGGGCTTTTAGTGTTGTTGCTTCTGCCCTTGGAATTCCTGCCCTTCTTCCATTTTTGAAAGCTGTTTGTCAGAGTAAAAAATCATGGCAAGCACGGCATACTGGAATTAAGATTGTTCAGCAGATTGCTATTCTCATTGGATGTGCTGTTCTACCACATCTTAGGTCTCTTGTAGAAATTATAGAACATGGTCTTAATGATGAGAATCAGAAGGTGAGGACAATTACCGCTTTGTCTCTAGCTGCACTTGCTGAGGCTGCAGCCCCGTATGGTATTGAAAGCTTCGACTCAGTCTTGAAGCCACTGTGGAAGGGTATTAGGTCGCACCGTGGTAAGGTGTTGGCTGCTTTCCTGAAGGCAATTGGTTTTATTATTCCTTTGATGGATGCATTATACGCCTGCTACTATACAAAGGAAGTGATGTACATTCTAATTCGAGAGTTCCAATCGCCCGATGAAGAGATGAAGAAAATTGTTCTCAAAGTGGTCAAGCAGTGTGTGAGCACTGAGGGAGTAGAGGCTGATTATATCCGCAACGATATTCTCCCAGAATTCTTTAGGAACTTTTGGGTTCGTAGAATGGCTTTAGATCGTAGAAATTACAAGCAACTCGTGGACACAACTGTTGAGATAGCAAATAAAGTAGGTGTCGCCGATATCGTTGGTAGAGTTGTTGAAGATCTCAAGGATGAAAGTGAACCTTATAGAAGAATGGTTATGGAAACAATAGAGAAAGTTGTTGCGAACTTGGGTGCATCCGATATCGATGCTCGATTAGAAGAGCTATTGATCGATGGGATTCTTTATGCCTTCCAAGAGCAGACCAGTGATGATGCTAATGTGATGCTTAATGGGTTTGGCGCCGTTGTCAATTCTCTTGGACAGAGAGTAAAGCCGTATCTTCCCCAGATTTGTGGTACCATAAAGTGGCGATTGAATAACAAGAGCGCGAAAGTGAGGCAGCAAGCCGCAGATCTTATTTCAAGGATCGCAGTCGTCATGAAGCAGTGCCAAGAGGAACAGCTCATGGGCCATCTTGGTGTTGTCTTGTATGAATATTTGGGAGAGGAATACCCTGAAGTTCTGGGTTCAATTTTAGGAGCCCTAAAGGCTATTGTGAATGTTATTGGTATGACAAAGATGACGCCTCCCATCAAGGATTTGCTTCCCAGATTGACACCAATTTTGAAGAACAGGCATGAGAAAGTGCAAGAGAACTGCATTGACCTTGTCGGTCGTATTGCTGATCGTGGTGCTGAATTTGTTCCAGCAAGAGAATGGATGAGGATCTGCTTTGAGTTGCTTGAGATGCTCAAAGCCCACAAGAAGGGAATCCGTCGTGCTACGGTTAACACATTTGGGTACATTGCTAAAGCCATTGGGCCACAGGATGTTTTAGCGACTTTATTGAACAATCTAAAAGTGCAGGAGAGGCAGAATCGTGTTTGCACTACTGTCGCCATTGCTATAGTTGCAGAAACCTGTTCGCCATTTACCGTTCTGCCTGCCCTAATGAATGAGTATCGTGTGCCAGAGCTTAACGTGCAAAACGGTGTGTTGAAGTCTCTCTCTTTCCTTTTCGAGTATATCGGCGAAATGGGAAAGGATTACATATATGCTGTGACGCCATTGCTCGAGGATGCTCTAATGGACCGAGACCTGGTCCACAGACAAACTGCAGCCTCTGCTGTGAAACATATGGCTCTAGGGGTAGCCGGTTTAGGGTGTGAGGATGCCTTAGTTCACTTGCTAAACTACGTATGGCCGAACATATTCGAAACATCGCCACACGTCATAAACGCCGTGATGGAGGCCGTGGAAGGAATGAGGGTGGCATTGGGTGCAGCGGTTGTGCTCAACTACTGCCTGCAGGGGCTTTTCCACCCTGCTCGGAAAGTTCGAGAAGTATACTGGAAAATCTACAACTCATTGTACATTGGTTCTCAGGATGCTCTTGTTGCAGCTTATCCAGGACTAGAGGATGGAGAAAACAATGTGTATTGCCGGCCGGAACTGGTGATGTTCATCTGAAACTCCTCCATTTGTTTCCAATAGTAAGTGTTGCCATTGCCAATGTGATGATATTATATTAAATACAGTTATGAACTGATCCTTCGCTTATTCCAACTGCTTAACAAGAAATGGGCCGTGTTTTTGCTCTCTTGTATTGTATTTAGATGGATGATGTCCTTGATTGGCAGGATTAGCATTATAATCTGCTTCTTATCTGTAATACTTTTGAGTTTTATAACAGTTTAGTAGGGAGAGTTTTTTTCCCGGGGAACAAAGGAAGAAGTAGGGAGAGATTTTCCCGTTAGCTAAATGGGGATAAGGACGGGAATTGCTTTTAATTCCGCCAAATCCCTATCCCGCTTTTTATGTGTGTGTTGGATACTATGTTATAAATCTCAACTTCTATTTTCGCAAAAATAAATGAGAAATTTCGCTGAGATGATTAAGGTACGAGAGAGAATGAATTTAACATTTTTATGATCAAATATAAATTAAAAATTAAAAAATAAGTAAATTATTAGAATTTAAATTATAAATTTAGTTTTTACGAATTTGAATTTATTTAATTCATAAACTCTCAAAACTATAATTTTTATTATTAAACTCTTCAATTATTTAAAATACTAGGAATGTACAATTAAAATTTTTATTAGAGATAAAATCTAAATGTATATATTATAATTGTTTATAAAATTTAAAATTTACTAATTCACCAAAAAAAAAAAATCATTGAGACAGAGAAATGAAAATTTTACGAATTTTATTAGATATTTTAATTAAAAAGGTTTAAAGACGAAATTGGCGAAAGGTTAAAGTTGTAGGGTTAACCGTAATTTTACCATTAAAAGAGGGGAAAGGTGCGTAAGCTATAGGAGCCGGGTTGAACACAAATTTACTGTTAACTCCCTTTGAGGGAAAGGGGAGAGAGACTGAGAGAGAGACGGAGAGACGAAGGGGCGGAGGGGCGAAGGAGAAGCCATGGAGCACGAAGACGTCGACATGATTGGCTTGGAGACCAACGATGCTGCGGTTCGTCTTCCATTTTAATCTTTTTTTTTTGTTCTCTTTCAATTCGATTCTTATATACCATCCTTTTGTTTTTGGTGTGTAAAAACCCTAATTGCTCTTTTTTCTCCTGGTTTTCAGGAGTTAGATGACATGAAGAAGCGGTTGAAAGAGATGGAAGATGAAGCTGCTGCTCTACGTGAGATGCAAGCCAAGGTCGAGAAGGAAATGAGTTCTGTACAAGGTTGGTTTATGCTCTTCTTCGCTTTTGTGAATTTCTTTTGTGTTTTTGTACAATGTCATTGAGATATGGAGGCTCTTGGATTCTATTCGTCGTGTTAGTATTTACGATGTCTATCTTGGATCTTATTTGATGAAATACTGAATAAGTAAGTCGAGTTTTGGTATTTGTTTGATTCTGAAGGTCGTCTTTTTGTTGGATGCAAGTTGAAAATGTTTAATGTTTGAAGAAGGCGCATTTGGATCTCATGCAAAAAACTGACTCTTGCATTTGAATTCCATATTGTTGTAGCTATTCATTAACTGAGTAACTGATTTTTGAACTATCTCCGACTTGGAGATGATTCATTCTCATCTTAATCACAAAGTTGTAGTTTCTGATTAGGAGAAGTTTGCCTTGGGATGAGAACCTAATTATGGAGACATATTATTTGCTGATCATCCCGTACATGTTTTTAATCTAAATATATCTCTCATGCGAAAGAAGTTCAAGCAGTCTGTTACCGTTAAATGTTTAGCCACTTTTTGTACTACCAGATCCAGCAAGTGCTGCTGCAAGTCAAGCAAATAGGGAGGAAGTGGATGCACGGTCAGTGTTTGTTGGCAATGTATGATCTCTTTACCCTTGACCAATATATATATTTTCTTTTGCATATTTCTTCACTCGTACCCCACGATTGGCTGAACTTTAATTTAATGGGTGCAAGGATTCTCTCTGTTAATGTTAAATTCTTGAACAATATGTATTTACAGTTTGCACTACTTTTTATTTTTACTAGATTTGTTACTTCTATTCAGGTCATTCGTTATGAAGGGGAGCTAAGACTTGCTCTTCTTGTAGCTTTCTCTAAGATTATTAATCTTTTGTCTTTCTTTTGTTCCATGCATTTGATATGATGAATGGAGCAATCTTATTGAAGTATTTGGTGACCTTTTTATATTTTGAATGGATTGGATTTATCAATAATTGAAGGTAAACTGGCAAGAGAAGCCACTGACTGGAGCTGTCTTCTTTATTGAACAATAGAAAGAGCTTTTTGAGCATGACTTTCTTTGAGAGTTCATTTACTTAATTATTGACATGGATTAAACTGACTAACTTTCATTCCTTGGTTTGTTCATTCCTCGTGTGGTCATAAAGATTTACTAAATTTCAGGTAGACATGGGTTGTTTCTTGTGGTACATATCATTCATGTCTTAGGAAGAGGTTGGATCATGCTTTACATTTTGAGGATGTTAAAGTGGTTGGTTGCTAGCAGTACTATTTTAGAGATGTTTGGAGGGATCATTGTATTGTTATCTATCGTTCTGCCTTTTAAGAACATTGAAATCTGTAAATAACTATTATGAATATTTTCCAAATAGATTGTTGCCATAAATTCAGTTCAATGTGGATAGTTACTTTTTAAATTTATATATGACCCATTTCTGTACTGTGCTTGAAATTTTAGTATATGTCGGTGTTTCTAGCCTGATTTGACTCCCATGTTTGACTGCAATTACAGGTTAGGCTTACTTCGTCAGGTTTTCTGATTACCTATTGCTGAAGTCGGATATTCTCTGATATGTTATAAATAGCTATCTAGTATATAAAAAAAGTGTCTTGTTCCAAAAGAAAGAGCGGATAAAAACTGTGATAAAATGTATAAGGATAAGGTGTAAAATTTTCAAGAGGGTAATAGTTTTGGTTGAATCTTTTGAAAAGAGTGATGGAAGAAAAAAGTTGAGATGAGTTAACAAGAAAAGAAAATATACCTAAATATCATGTAGTCGTGCCTTGTTAGCTTAGTGGGTGGGCTCAGAGTCAGTCAATCTAACATGTCTCAAGTTTGAGGCCATGTGGTTAATGGGAAAGAGGAGTTGGTTAAAAAAAAAAAAAAAAAAAGTGGGAGAGAGAATAAACTCACCAGCCCAGAAAAGGGTATGTATGACTATGGATGAAGTCAGCAGAAGTTTTACTGGTTTGCTTGATTGAACTGGAAGGCTTGACAAGTTTTGAAGGGAAGTAATGTGCATTCACAACTAAGGAGGACTGGCTGTGGCGCTGAGGTATGTTATTGTCTTGTGTTGAAGCCAGCATTTGTGACCACTGTTCGAGGATTGTTTAAGTGATTTACAATCTATGGTGAGGGACCTCCAAATATCTCTGATTTTCCTGTCTCCTCCCTTAATCCATCAAGGAAAGGAAAAAGGCATAATTAGGGAAGCTTTTATGTTTCTATTTCTACTTGTGGGAAATATTCATTTTTACCTTCGTAAATATCCCACTCAGTCAATTTTAACTTTAAAGTTTTAGTTTCATCAAGTTGAACTCTATGCTTGTATAGGGTATAAAATTAAGGCCTTTCCTTGATTTGAAGTTCAAAAAATTTTGTATAACTAACTGAAATTGTTCAAAATCTAACAAACCCAAAATACTGCTAGAAAAACTCCCAATGTCACCCAATGTAAAGACATCCCTACTCAACAATTATTAAGTATACATAGAAATAGTGTTCTCCAATCACAAGCACCCACACTTAACCTTCAATCTCAAAATGGGGAAAAAAAACCAACATAGGTTTCTAATTTGAACTTTTATTCAAGTTGAATTGGACAAAATTCAAATTTAAAAATTAAATTGGACTCATTCAGCTAAGTAGTACCCATCAGGATTTGTTTTTCTGTCGTTTGGTAGGAGCAGTCAAATGTCTCTCCTTTCCATAGATGAATACGAGTTCCTTGGATGGTTTCTGTTTACTGGGCTATTACATTATTACATTGTCATTCTTGTATGAATATTCTCTTATAATCATGGCCATTGGTCAAAAAAGCTGTTAGTCGTCTAGGATTTTTCAAGAGAACAAATGTGGGGAAATTAGAGTTGCATGGTGATTTCTTGTCTTCTCATGAATGGATATCCATTGGAATTAGAAAGAGACCTATTATTATGAACGATTGGGACGTGACTTTTATTAATTAATTTAATTTTTATTCTCAGTTCGTTACAGGGTGATGTACTATGACTATCACACAGTAATTATGAAAATGTGTGACTCATTTTATTGATTTAATTTTTTTGTGTGATTTACATTCTACTAATATTGATATCATATAAGTTAACTGATAAAAATCTGCGAGCCCTATTTTATTGGGGTTTTGTGGTATGTCAAATGTTCTGAGCTACTACGTTTGGAACAGGTGGATTACTCATGTACCCCAGAAGAAGTACAGCAACATTTTCAGTCATGTGGAACTGTAAACAGAATCACTATTCGCACCGATAAGTTTGGACAACCGAAGGGCTATGCGTATGTTGAATTCCTTGAGACAGAAGCTGTTCAAGAGGCCCTCCTTCTGAATGAATCAGAACTGCATGGTCGACAGCTGAAGGTTAACACAAGTTTTATATATTACTAGATTAATGTTAGTTTAAGATTTTTCTACGGGGAAAAAAAATGAATTTTTAAGTATGTTGCAGGTAACTGCCAAGAGAACAAACATACCCGGGATGAAGCAGTATCGTCCACGCCGATCCAATCCGTATATGGGTGCTCGATCCAGGAGCCCATATGTTGCTCCTCCTTATTTCTTCTCACCATTTGGATACGGGTATGATCATTATTGAATATAAATTTCCAATGCAGACCGCTTGCATCTCTTCCTCTCTTCCAAGTCGTTTAACATAGTTCTTTCTGTTGCAGGAAAGTCCCAAGGTTCAGAATGCCAACGCGTTACGGCCCCTACTATTGAATGTTATTTTTGTTTGGGGCATTGTTGAATTAGAGATATCGTACTTAAATGTGTTTGCATGCCCTTTTGTTTTTTTTATGAAGGAAATTGATGTTTGGATATAATTTTAAGAGATCTTTTCCTGTTTAAAAGAAATGGAGTGTGAGCAAGCACGACGCAGGTCAATCCCTTCGAGCTCTATCACTGTGTATAGAAGAAGGTTCCTCTGGACTTGCTGCAGGTACGTTTTCATGATCTTAAGTATTTCACTTTGGAATTTTGTGCATTGTGTTTGAAGCTAAAAATAGAACCCACTACATACTGGTATTAAACGTTCTATATATTGAGTGCTTGCTATTTTGGTTCAATTCTGTGCATAGATTTATTTGGTTTTGTTTGCCCCCATCTGCTTGGTCAGTTTTAAAAGTTCTGATTTCAAGAACAATAATCTTCTCTCTCATATTGATTGGAGAAGGGAATGAGTGCCAGCGAGAACGCTGGGCCCCGAAGGAGAGTGGATCGGGAGATCCCACATCGGTTGGAGAGGGGAACAAAACATTCTTTGTAAAGGTGTGAAAACCTCTCTCTAGCATATGTGTTTTAAAACCTTAGGGGGAAGAGGGGAACAAAACATTCTTTATAAGGGTGTGAAAACCTCTCTAGCATATGTGTTTTAAAACCTTGAGGGGGAAAAGCCCATAAGGGAAAGCACAAAGAGGATAATATCTGCTAATGGTGAGCCTGAGTCATGATAAATAGTATTTTCGTAGACACCAAATGGTGTGTCAGCTAGGATGCTGAGTCCTGAAGGGTATGAACATTGGACGGTGTGCCAGCGAGAACGCTGGGCCCTGAAGAGAGGGTGGATTGTGAGATCCACATTGATTGATTGGAGTGAGGAACGAGTGCTAGCAAGGACGCTAGGTCCGGAAGGGAGGGTGGATTGTGAGATCCTACATGGGTTGAAGAGGGGAACCGGGTGTGGAAACCATTCCTTAGGAGACACATTTTAAAATATTGAGGACAATATTTGCCAGCCTGAAGAGGTAAGCTTGTGCGGTTATGTACTTACCATTTTTTTTTCTTTAAAAACAATAGTGAAAACAAAAACATTTAAAAAAAAAAACAAATAATCATCAAATTTCAGTTTCTTGCTCCGTTATCATTTGGATTAACCTTTTTCAGTGTGTTGTAAGCTCTAAAAAATCACCTTATCCATTAATGTAAAAATATAATAGTTGAACCAATAAAGCACACTACAAATGCTCCACTTTTAATCTAGCTTAAGAAGGAAGATACTTCATTTGTAAATTCAGTAGTAATTATTACATATCTAAAACTTTTCCAAAAGCTGATGGATATAAAGGAGAAAATTGAAAATCTATATCCATATGTTTGTCTAACGAATTATCTTTTAAATGCTTTGTGTCCACTAAATTTAAATAATAATGATTCCATAATCTCTTTATCCCACATTTAATGATTGCCTCAGTATCAGATAGAATACCATTTTTTTATTACCATCAAATTTCAAATCTTTTCCACTGTATTCCCATCATTAATCTACTTTATTCTCATTACCAAACACTCCTAAATTCCCCACTTGAAGCTTCTTTTTAAACCTCTTTTTTTTTCTTTCCATTTAATTAAAGTTTGCATTATTTATATTTCTCATTCCCTGTCCATTTTTCAAAATACAAATTTTTACATGACCACCAAAACGACCGCGTTTCATCCATTCCCCAACCATACGGCACCCGAACCCATTATCGTGGATCATATTTTTTTACTCATTATATTATATATACAAAGGAAAGAACACAATCCACCGCCACGTGTCGTCTTCGTCAGCCACTTCACACCATTGTCTTACACGTAGACGACTGAGGGTCCCACATCGCCGGGAGTAGATACTTCCGTCCGTTAACTCCATGGGCATTGAAACTGGCTCCGGTCACCTTGTCAACCAGAACCTTACCTGGGTAACCCGGGTAGGCTCCTGACCCGAACAACCCGGTGCAGGCTGACACCGCTTCCAGCGGCGCTGTTGGTGGGCCCTGAAAGTACCCATCGTTGAAAGGATTCGTTACAGTTCCTGCCAGAACGGTGGCCAAATTGATTATCATTCCATCGACACCGACGTCGCCGTTGGGGGCGATCAATGGCGGCGTCTGTGGACCGTAAATAGGCTGATGGAACGGCCAGGCGCAGTACCCAGGGCACTGAGATTCCGAGTTTCCAACCCACACATAAGCGGTTCGTGCGCTTCTCCGACCTACCGGAACCGACCCATGAGTACCGCACCGGCTGCGGCAGAATCCATCGACGGCAACATCCTTCGCCGTCAGCACCACGTTTACCGAATTCAACTGATTGACCTTGGTCGCCAACGCCCTAAGATGCAGGTTCTTCAGATTTTTCCCCAAAGTGTAAGCCTCGTGAAGAATCTGCTTCCCAACAATGAGATTCGACGACCCACCCTTGTATTTCTCCGTCGTCTTCCACCAGAGAGATGCCGACGGCGCCGGAGCTCGTGAATAGCTTAGAGATTGAATGAAGTCGACGATTACAGAGCGTTGTGAAGCTGTGAATCGGCCGTACCATATCAAATTGACGGTGATATTCCCTTTCAGAAGAGTACCCTTGTGGTATTCGAGCACCAACGGCTGTTGCTCGACGAGCGCCGCCGGTCCCCGGCTGAGACCAGGAGCGGCGGCGGCAGATGAGAGGAAGAAAAACAGAGTGAAACAGAGAGTGGCACGATGGTAAATAGAAGCCATGTTCAGGGCAAAGTTGGAACAAGATAAATAGATATTGGATATTGAATTGAAAGGGAGGAAATGGGTATTCTTATTTATAGTGAGAAGCATTTGGATATGAAGAAAGGAGACAGCTGTAAGGGTAACACATGCGTCACGGTCAAGGAGAAACGTGGACGATTTGGATTGGTCCGTTAGGTTGGTCAAAAGAAGTTGCCAGGCTGTGACGGGGAGGACTTACAGGACTTATAATGAAACGCGTGACGGGTGATTCTTCCAGTTACTAGGCGTGTGACTCTCACGTGCCTCCTAACTTGGGTTACGGAATCTGACGTGGCATCAGACGTGGTGATAACCCGATCTCTCCCCTTCCCTCGTGTGCCTTCTAATCCGTCCACGTAGCTTCTTTTCTTACTCTATTTTCCCCCTCCTTTTTCTTTGCTTATTATTTTAGTATAATCTTAAAATTTTCTAATTATATATCTTTTGAATAAATTAAATTATAAATTTAGTTTATTTTATTCGAAAAGAATGGTAAAAAGTAATAGAGATTAACATGAAATTCAAAGTTTGAAAAAGAATTAAAAATGAATAAATAAAAAAAAATAAAAATGGAATAAGGACAAAAAATGAAAACCCGTGGGGGACCAGGTGTCCCCCAAAAGGGCAAGATGGGTAGCGTATAAGGGAGGGCCATGGGCAGCAGGCCCTATAATTGGATGGCGTCACGGAAGGTTGAGATATTAAAAAAAATTATTATTTTTTATATATTTTTAAAATATATAATTAATTAAAATATTAAAAAAATACAAAGGGCTCGAAAATCGAGAGGGGTTTGGTTCTGGTACGTACACTGACACTGCACTGAAAGGATTAATTTGATTAATTTTATGTCACGCGTGACCTTTCTTTATTTTTTATTTTTTTTATTTTTTATTTTTTTACATTTCTTAAATAATTTTTTATTTTATATTTAAACTAAAAGAATACTTTTAAACTTTTAAACTTTTAAAATTTTAATAATATTTTCGTAAATTATCTATTTAAGAAATTTATGATTATTTTTTTAGAATTAAAAATATATTTTTATTAATTTAGCGTAAATTTTATTTTATTTGTATTAGTGGCCTTAGTGTTTAGGGTACCCCTAGAAAAGTAGAAAGTAAAAAAGGTGTGGGGCTTTATCCATTTCCTATTTATAGGCTTCTGAGTTTATCTTCCCTTCTTACTTTTTGGGTATTAATTATCTGTCCACCACTTACTATTTACCTTTTATTAAATTAAATTCTTCTATAAAATATACATTAAATTCAACTCATTTTTATTATATTATTCAAATAATTTATTAAAATAGAACTAAAATAACAACAGAATATTGCTAAATTCTTTTATTATATCATCTACGTTGAAATTTCTAAACAATAATTAATTTTAAATTTTAAAAAAAGGAATTTTTGGAATTTAGAAACTAATTTGGAAAGGGAAGTAATTATTATAATGGAAATTGTGTTGAATTTTATAAAATTAGGGATATTTTGGGAAATGGAAATTGTGTATTGGGTGGGTGGGAGGTATTATACAGTGCGGGAGGGTCCACGCAAAGTTTAAATGGATGGGCGGCTTCATTCTCACATAAACCCTAACTTTCGGCCTTCTTTTTCCCTTGCGTTGGGTCGGTGCCGGCCCACTATGTGAGTGCCCGCATCTGAATATTCCCTTTTCACCCACATTTCTTGGGAAGAAAAAATTAAAAAATATATATAATTCAAATTTATTATTTTATATTTTGTAATGTGTTCGTCTTTCTTTGTCCCATTTAATCGAAGAATGGGAGACTGAGTTATAAGAGATTTTCTCCATCTAAATAAGGTCGGAGACGAAGATTATATTCTCTTTTCTTGTCTTGCACTCGTCTCAGTTATATATATAGTAATATTGAAATTTGAATTTCTATATATTAAAATGGTTTATGTTTTTTAATAGAAATTATATTGAAAATTTTAATATAATATAAAATTGGGTAATAATAAATAAGAAATTGAATTAAATTTGAAGTTTAAAAAATGAGGAACATCAAGTAGAAATAAGTTCAAAACCATGTGATAAATATGGCTATGAACGAAAGTACAAATTTAAAAATAATATTGTTTGAAAAAGAAAAAAAAAAAAAAAAGGTGAAAAATGAGATTTACCGGTGGATTTACCGTCGGGGTTAATTTGGGTGATAGAGAGCAAGCAGTAAAAACACGAGGCCATATTTGGAAATTGGGTGGGGCCCAGTCGATAGGGCCGACAACATGGTTTGGAAATTCCACGTCGTCTTGATTTGACTCCTTTTGGAAAAAAAAAGTTTATTACAGTGAACACGTGGAAATTAAGTTTTAACTACTCCCTTTCGCCCACCCTTCCACGTCACGTCGTCTTCAAATTTGATTCAAATAGCCTCTAAAAAATAATTTATTATTATTATTATTATTATTATTTGGACCGGACAGATATTATCCT